TTCAGCAGTCACAGCAGATGATGAGTGGTCTCTTTGCAGTGGTCCATTTCCTTGCTGGCATGCTGTGCTCTGCTGTCATCCCCATTCCCTCTCCCTGAGCTGAGCATCAGTCCTGGATCAAAGGTCTGCACAGCCTTTATACACCTTTCCTCTGCCTCTTCCCCATGGGATTACAAATGCCTCCCTCTGGAGCTCACCCAGTGTTCAGAACCTAACTTGTGCTTCTTAAAACCCAAACTCTGTTCAAAATGATCTTCCTTTGTAAAATGTGTAGGAAAAATGAGGGATGTGATGGATGGAGAGTGCTGGCATTAAGGTACATACCGAATGTTTGATAATGGTTCTGTTGAGTTAAGCTGCCCCAAAATTGTCAGTCTTTAATTTTAGTGTTTTACCTTTGTCCTAGAAACTATTTTGAAATTAATTTAATTTTTCCTGAATTTAATTTTTGTTCATTTAGGACTACTCACAGCTGCATACATTTTTAACTTAAATGCTCTTAGTACAAATTTTCCTCAAGTTTTTACAGCCAGCCCCCCAGAAAACATAACTTTTATTTAGTATTGTAGGACAAACGTGTTCTAATTTTCTTGTAGGTTTGTACTGCTGTTGGATAGAATGAAAGGAATACAGTCAAATTTTCAAGTTGCAGAAACACATTTAGTTTGTGCAATTTAGCAGCTGTTGCAAACACTTGGGGGCATTTTCTTCAGCATTTGAAAATTCCCTGTAGAAGTGAGACAAGAGACGTTCATTTAGCATTTCAAGCTTGAAAAATATTTTAACCTTTCCTTAAATTGTGTTTTGAAGTTTGGGATTAGGTCTGTGCCTGGCTGCACAGATGGCTACATTTTACATATTCCTTTGTCTAGGAAGAAAAAGAGACCACATGGTCAGTTAATGGCTCTAAACACTCCTAGTCTTCATTTTACATCTTCTTAATGGGACCTGAGAGATTCTGGGAAGATATTCAGAAAATTGTTGTTTATGGTGTAAGACTTGTAAGATGTGTTGTATTCTGTGTCCTGGAACTCATGAGCTATTTTTGCTCCTACTTATTAATCCTGGTTAATGAATTTTACAGCTTCATCCCTTAAGGTTTAACATTCATTTTTACACACCAGAATTATGAAAACTAAGATCACCGATGTATAGAAAATGTTCTTTTATTACTGGAATGTGAGGGCTCTTATTTGTAATCTTTTAATAGGCAAAATTATCAATGAAGTGAATTTTTAAGAAGTTGACTGCATGTTGAATCATTGAAGTAGTTATAAGCTAAATAAGCTTTTTAGGCTTTCTGAATGCTTTCTAAGCTTTTTTTCCTAGCCACTTTTGGGGAATACTGTAATGAAGTGTGGACTTCACAAATCAAATGTGATGCTGGGATAAATGCTGGGCTAAATAATCAAAAATCCATTAAGTCAGTGGTATGTCACCAGAGCAGACAATTATAGCATACAAAACCTGTCCTTAATTGGGTATTTTGTGCTTTGCAATGATTTTTTTTTTCCAAGAAGGTTTTAAAACAATATGAGCTAAAGGATTGATAGATTAACAAGAACCACAGAATAGAATCATAGAGTGATTTGGATTTAAAGGGACCTTAAAGATCATCTGGTTCCACCCTCCTGCCATGGGCAGAGACATCTCCCACTAGACAAACATAGTTTGTATGAATCTGCATGTGGCACATAAAAGAAATCTTTATAAAACCACTGAGTGCTGTGCAATGCTGAGCACTTCTAAGAAATCTGTCAAGTTTATAAAAGGTTATCTCTACAATATGGGCACATGACTTTTTTTTCTTCCATTTAAAAGTATTAGTAAGGTTTTTAAGGCTACTATTGTTTTACCATGTAAAAAGGAAGCTCTTACCCCTTTAAACCAACATGTGCAACAAAATCCATCTGGGTAAAGTTCTTCTTGAAGATAGTGTTAAAAGACTTTACAGTTTTATTCCAGCTCCTGTGGCAAAAAGGTTTTCATTGCAAACTCTGCAATCACAGAGGTCATTCTTACTTCTATTAGATGGCAATTTAATGATGTTCCTGCAATTCTGTGTGAGCTTTGCAGGCCGGGATGGGATAGAGGGGTGAGATGGTTTGAGATGCTGTGGATCACTGTGTTTGGGTCTCCAGCCTGAAGTGCTATCAGCCAGGCATTTCTGGCAGATACTTCATTCACTTCTTTTAAATTGAACTTAAGAACATCTGCAGCTGTTGTTTATGTATTTTGGGGGTGTTTATATACATACACATGAGAACACACACTCTGCCTTCCAGCCAGCCCAATCCTCCTCCCCTAATTTATTCACGGAGGAAAAGGTTACATTTCCTCTAGATTTCTGAGGGTGTTTTGTTTAATTTTTTGCTTCCAATGAACTTCCTAGAAAGAAAGGCTAAGAGAGTGTTGCAGGAAAAGCCCTGTTGGCTGAGAAGTTTGGTTACCCTAAGTACCATTTGCAGTTCCTCAGACGCAGAAGGAGCTGCTGTGTAAAGGTCACGAGTTGCCAGTGTAGGTCACGTTAACACAACTTGACGAATGTTGTGTTATAAACACAGTAGAAACTCTTTGTCTTGATAGAAATCTTGAAATGTAGTAACTTCTTATGCTGCAACTTGGTAAGCCTGAAGAGTGGTTTGGAAATATTATTTTAAACCTCACAGATAAGGAAGCTCAGTCTGAATCTTTGCAGCCCCTTATTATGGGTGAAATGCAGAGGATTCTGCCTTGGCTTTATTGATTACCTTTTTTGCCTCAAGATTGTCAGGGTTTTCTCAATACCATTTCTATCTTTATGCCTGTTCAATAGAATACAGAATTTATGTTCAGAAATAAAATAATGTAAATAGAGAAAAATTAACCTTATTTTCTTTCTTCTGTTTTTCAGCGGAACCTCTGCCTTTAATGGACTTGTGCCGAAGATCAATTCGTTTTGCTCTCGGCAGAGATCGCCTGCATGACATAGAAATTCTACCTTTGCCTCTGTCTCTGAAAAATTATTTACAGTACCAATAAGATGTCTAGAACCCTCTGGCCTCACCTTGGACTACATCAATGCAAATGGCAGAAAATTGTTTACAGCAAAATATAAATCTTCGTGATGGACACTTAAGTGTTATTTAATTTTTAATATATATTTTTTTCTGAACCAGTGAAAGCAGATCACTATGGGGGACTACTAAAGAATGTGAAAACATTGATTTGATTGAGATTCATGTATTATCTGTTGCCTGTTGTGTTTACAGTCCTGAAGGCCATTATTCTCATCTCTCATCCATTGGTTTATCTTTGTTGCCTATGGTAAATGCCAATAGAAAACCTGACCTGCAAGAGATGCTGTCCTGCAGGACAGAGCATTCTTCGATATTGTGATTTTTCTTTTCTTTCTTTCTCCTACAGCTTACCCCAATAAATACAAATAAATTAGCAAAGGAAAATTCTTGACAGTTACTTGTGAAAAATATTTAAACCTTGTTTTGGGTATCCAGAGTTGTTGAGAGTTTTGAGTGTTCAGCACTCAGCATAATTAGGCCTGATGTTTAAAAATGCAGATTATTGTCTAGAAGAAGAGATTGTGGTCTAAAAACATGAGAGGAATAAAACTGGTATATGTCTCAGACCAGTTTTTAGACATGGTAACAGTAAGGTGCAGTTCATTGTTTTCAAGACCAAATCTAGTCCATCCAAAGTTCTGCAGTTTATAACAAAGTGTTCACTATCCCAAGAATTTAGGATATTCATATTTTAGAAAGCTTGTCACTTTTTTTTTTATTTGAACAAATTTATAAGTTTTATGTGGTATGAACTCTAAGTACTTTGTTCTCTTTTTAATGTATGTGTGGTTATAATGTTTATTTATCTGTTTAGCGTCTGTGGAGTTCTCATTTAACTGTTTCCCATCTTGGGGTGACTGATTTTGGTTTTTTCCCCAACTCCACCTGAAATATATCGATTTTTCAGGCTCATCCCATTTTTTAAGATGCTGCTTTCTATTTGCGTTTCTTACATGTTTCACGTTATCTGCCTGATCAGTTATCTAGTTTTTAAACTGGAAGTTGTTGTTATGGCACGATGTCAAATGTTTAGACTGAGCTGCCTTCAGCATATTTTAATGTGAATTTACTGATCAATGAGGAGAAAATTTCTAATAAAGTCTACTGTCTGAAAGAAAACTCATGTCTCCTTTGATGAAGTGTTAAATAACATAGTACTGCTCATAGTACAGAGCTGAAGTTCAGCTCCTCATACAGCTTTGCAAATATTTCTGTTCAGCAGTTCTTTGGAATCACTGCTTTGAGTTTGTGTGTAAGAGATATCACAGGCAATGTCACATCTTGTTCCTGTTTTATCCCACTCACTCTGGATATAGCTGTACTCTTGCTTTGAGTACCATCCTGCTAAGATTCCTCTAAGCGAAACCTCAGTTTTGTGCAAAGTTGCACCCTAGGGCTCTGTGCTTTTGAGGTAGGCTTGGGTTTGACTTCTGTGTTCTGATGTTCCATCCAAACCCACTGGTGGTTCTCCTGCTCTAGGTACCCCTGGGAACACAATTACAGTTCCAGCTGGAAAAGAGAAACAGGAGATAAAAAAGACACAACAACACAAGCACGAGCAGAAGCAACAAGGGCAAGGTGACACAGGAATGTCCAAAATGAAGTAATTAATATTTGCTTGTCTGGGCTTAACTGTGTAAGCTGGTGCCTGCTCCAGCATCAGCTCACTTTTAGATTTGCTTTCTCTTAAGGAGGGAAGTACATACTTCATTCCTTACCCTAATCTTGCAAAGGGGAAGAAGATACAGCTGTAATCTACATTTCTTACTTTTCCCTTTTGCTTTGTGTAATTTAAACCTTTTGTCTCAGTAGGTACATAGGTAGAAGGTGCTATAAATGTGTGATAGCTCACACAGAAGGAAGCATACAGCTACGTCAAGTGATCTATCATAAACAAGGTAAGCAACTGTTCAGGAATGGAATAGCAATCCTGGTAGACCTTACTGTTCCACCACTGAAGTACATTTGATGTAAGCATTTCCTAAAATTAGTGGCTTACTGTTTATGACTAGACTTCATGTTCCTTTGAATAACTGCAGTGACAAAACTGTTAAGTATTGTCTTTCCTGTTTTTTCACTTGACTCAGGCCAGCAGTTTTTTAATGTTAGGGTAAAGTGGGATGTGCTGGTTTGAGCTGAAGAAGAGT